TCGTCAGACACTCGACCATAATTGTAAGGGAGCTCTAACTAATTCAACTCAATTTATTCTGGTATAGCAGTAAATCACAATTGTAGTTATCTAAAAGGACTTTACAAAAAGTGTATTTAATATGCTGCTATCCAGAATATATAACTACAATATGTGTTTATAATATTTCGGGTGTTCATTTTGACATGTTCAGATGAATTATGTTAAAAAACGGCTTTGAAGTGGCACCTTTTCACTTCCACATAGAAACGCTAGGGGGCGCCAAAATGGCGGCGATGACGTAGGAGAAGGACCTCTCACAGCAGAGGACAGCAGCTGGAAACTGTAGGAGGTTTCACTGTCATCTGAACAAGGTACAGTATAAACATATTTTCATCCGTTTTGTACATAATAGTGTGCAACTCTTTTAACCTTTTAGCCTTATTTGTGAGATTCAAGCTAATTAGTGTTGGGCAAGTTAGCTAACTCTACTTGATATCATAAAACATGCTAACAAGGCTAATATTCGTTTTTACATTATGCCAGTCTCACTTTGGTTGCCTTAGATTTATTTACCACAATGTACATTGTAATATCCATAAATGCTAACACCTATTAACGGTTTAATTAGCATTTTTATCAATGATTGTATCACATGTAGTCTATGTTTTCAACTTCTGCAGCTTTTTGTTCATAAAAGTAAAATATTTATTTAATTCAAGTTATTTTGATTAGCATTTTTGAACCATTGTAAAACCCAGGGGGAAAAAGTGAGAATCCTTGGAGAGGTCCACATTGAGAGAGGGATCCGCTCCCATGGATGGACGGGCTGTAGATCCAGGAGGTCAGGGGTCCCATCAATCCTTCATGAAACAGACAATGGGACAGCAGGTGAGTAGCAATGAGGAGACTACAGCCAAAGTCATAATGATGACAGATAAAGTAGGAGGGAGAAGAGGATATCAGTTCTTACTGAGTGCTGGATCTACAGCCCGTCCGTCTGTGGGAGAGGATCCCTCTCTCAATGTGGGCCACCTTGAGGTTTCTCACTGTATTCCCACTGTTTTTGTTTTATGCCAATGCAGGAGGGTGTAAGTACAGTGATGATCTGGGACATTTATGGGTATTCATGAACATGTATGTGGTCATTCCACTATGGATCAATGACCAATATGTGTGTTATTATTGTATTTCTGTGTTTGAACTGCTTGATTCTCTGATCTGATGTTGGTAAATTGACAACTTTGAGACGACTTTTGTGATTTAGAGCTTTTCAAAAATAAAATAAATTGGATGGAATTGAACCAGTACAGTAGCCATACTGTTTTTATTTTATTTTTTTCTTATTACAGCTCTATATACAAAGATATATGTGTGTGCATTACATTTTAGATGTCATAGTTGATAAACAAGAAGTATGAAAACTACTTTATGTGGCAAGCTGGACTTGGCCACTATATTTGTGTCCACTAGAGGGCGCATAAACGCATAAATAGCCTAGAGTTACGTCTTTGATTACCTCTGCACTCTCCTGTGTTTTGTTGCCTGCCTCCTCCTGCTCCAGGTAGTAGAGTTCTAGTGTTCCTTTTAATATTTGTAAGTTGCAGCCACTAATGTTAAATTGTTGTTGTAGTGCCGCGGTGTGGCATTGTGCTCCGCGAGTCCTGCTTTTATATGGCTATGCTGTTCTGTCGCTTTGGCGTCTGGCCACCCTCGTTGCTGGGGCCCGAGTGTGTCGTAGCCGGCTGTGGGTCTGGGCCTTTAAACCGTCACCCGCCGAAGGTGCGCGCTCAGCATTTGCCAGCATTTGACAGTATTGTGGTGGATCATAAGTTAACTTGACTAATTCGTAGGCTAGGGACTGGCAACATCGCGGCCCACCGCTGTTTCTCCTGCTTTCACCTGTTGCTCTCCCTGTTCCGTGTTTCTTTAGTGTGTATACCTGTGCTCCTGAGTCCATCGTGACAGGAAGATACACATTCAGAACTACGAACTGAACTATACATCAAAACACAATGAAATAAATCAAGTAAGGGATAACGTATAGTACGCAGGTCATTATCGGAAAATAAGTACCGACAGGGCAAAGCGGATCCCGACGCGCAAAAAATAAGAAAGAAAATAAAATAGTTCCCAAAGGCTTTCGCGTGGCTATGCTAGCAACAGTTAGGCAATCAACTTCCAAACTAGAACTCTCTGGAACTGCATGAAAACTGAACAAAGAATTGTGAACATCAGCGGTGAGTGACCCAAACATAAACCTAACCTAAATCCATAATTCGATCTTCTGCAAATGTGTCCTAAAATGTGCCGGTATTTACTTCCGGGTTTTTCGGGATCACATTTTCTCGCATTACATCAGTGTTTTTGTCATGAAAACGTAAACGGAAAATTCTGAAAACTTCCGTGCACTTTGATTAACAATGTATATGTATAATGTACTCCACGATTAACATTTAATTGCATTGATTGATTGGCATTTGCGTTTAATGAGCGTGGCTAGCTCCGGAGTGGCTGGAACTACGTCCGGGTTTTTCATGATCGCTTTTTGACGCAGATAGTATTTTTGTCATGAAGACAAGAGCAGTAAATTCTGAAAACCTCTGTGCACGTGTGTGAAGAATGTATATGTATAAGTATTCTCCGATTAACATTTAAGTGTGTTGATTGATTGGTATTTGCGTTTATTGAGCGTGGCTAGATCCGGAGTGGCCGGAACTACTTGCGGAGTTATCCACGCATTTGAAATACAAGCAGAGAGAGCGTTGCCATGGGCAGCGGTCATTATTGTTTTGAGAGGTCCGTTATAAAAAATAATGACCGGTAGAACGTTTTGAAATTACATTCAAATCAATGGAGCATTCTACTGCTGCTGTGAGGAGCTGTATAATAAAGTGACTTAATGTCTGCCTATGCCTCTTCAATGATTTAACAAACCTGTGCGCCATAGAGGGATTTTTATTTTATTTTGGGCAGGCGTTGCTGGTCTTTTTCTTTTCTTTACTTGTTTTATTTGTTAGGAGTGCATAATCGCCTCTACATGCCACATTTATATTTCAAGTTTTTTTTTTTTTTACTTTATATCTCTTACACAATGAAGATGTAACAAATTCTTATTAAATGTGTCTTTGTTTGTTTGGGTCGGTTCGTCTTGTTGCCAGTTTCAGGTACTGGTGCTTAATCACTTCTGTCTAATGCCCTGATGAAACATGTTGTACAGTATATGAACACGCCAGCTCTGTAACAAATTCAAAACTGTATTTTCACTACACTTTACAAATAGAAAAACTTTATAAATTTGTCTCTATTAATTTACTATACTTTTGAGTTACCACTGTGCTTTTATACTGAATAATAAATGCAGACCTGACTCTCTGGACCATTCACAAGACACGGGGAAGCCTCAATCTAGGAAACACCCTACAGGGAAGACTCAGGAATCTCCTCAGATGAGAAGGGCAATGGCGCTGTCAGGCCGCGTAAGTGTACGGCTGGATACTGTCATTTATCATTCAATAACACCAGCGAGCGGAACTCCCATAGCAACCTACATAGTGTGTCAACTGAGACATGTGAGCTCAGGTGAATGGTGTATTGCATGTGCATCTATAATATTCACCAGTATGACAAATTTAAAAAAAAATGTGTTAAAAAATACATTAAGTAGCAATAAGGAAGATCATTAAATGGCCCTAATATGTCAAAAGGCATTAATAAACCATGCTCTTTTCCAATACTTCTTTAACTGAAAACAGTAGTACAGCCAAGATATTTGAATTTTGAAATTAGTTTTTCAGCCTGTAGATCTTGTTATTGTTTTCATTTTGATGTCCCGCCCTCCACTGTTTTACCAATCAGAAAGTCTGTGATCCAGGTGCCAGAACTCACGTCGAGCTGAGTATTGGGAACTCACTGGTAAAGTAACATGTGGCCACAGAACTAAAAAAGATCTTGTTATGATTCTCAAATCATTAGTAACAAAACATGGAATAAAACAAGGATTTCTATCGAGGCCTTTGTGAAAAAAGTGTTGTTGACAAAACTCTTTTCTATTCACATATTATGGTCCCAGCTGGATTTGTGTTCATATCTGGCAACCTGAGTCAGGGAGCATGGGAGAGGTTGCAGTACTACTTTTGCTCCTTTAAATAAGCTGCTTAAAATATCTGTATTCTTAATAGCAGGTCTATCCAATGTCATACTGTATATCTGAGTGTATTTTATTGATTGTTTTAATTTGATTCCAAGAGATCTATAGGAATGTATTGGTTACCATAGATATAGAAAATAAGCTAATACATACAATAATACAGTATTTAAGACCCATGTACTGCATGACCCTTGAGTGTTTTATTCCCAGTTTGTCTACACTGCAACAGATTTTTTAATCATGCCGGCCACTTCCTCGAATATAGGTGTAGTCTGCACAACCTAAAACACAATTTATGTCTGCATTGTAAGATATTGACATTTTACATATAATTAATGATGTACGTAATGTAAATGAAATTGGTAGCTTTATTATTAGATTTGAGGATCATTTTGTGTGCATGTGAGGCTCTGGCACAGGCTGCCTATGGTTTGACTCTAATGGAACCTGTCTGTTGTAAAGTGTGATATAATGCTCCTCACAGTAGATTTAGGGGACTGCCTGTCACGCCCACTTCGCCTGAGCAGCATCCTCACGCTCATCATCATGAATATTCCAGAACACAACAAACTTAAAGCTCCTGATTGGACAAACTTTGTGCATTAGAGAAGTAACAGCAGCACCTTGGAGCATCTGGCGTGTGAACCTGCGCACGCTCCGCTGGGAGAGGCTCTCTTCATGTCAGGTGGAATACGATCACTTTGAACTTTCAGCTGCGTTTATGGGCTACATTTGGAATCGGCGCCTTGGCATTTAACCTGTGATGTTACAAAAGATTATCAACGCGTTTTACTAAGCTCGATTGGTTTTCTCATTGAATAATGGACAGTGGGAGAGCCTGCAAAGACGCGTCTGCAAGGTTGAAATATTGATGTGGGATTTACTATTTAAACCGGGTGCTTATTTCGTAGGTAGGTCAAACATCTTTTTGGCTTTTCTATCTCTGCGCGTCGCTCCAATGAGCTGATTTTTGTGCCTGAGATGACTTGACATCCTCCCGACCGCCACCAACACCAGCGTGTGTGTGTGTGTGTGTGCATGTGTGTGCGTACTCAGAGGCGGGGAGACGGCGTGAGGAGGAGAGAAGAGGGAGAGAAGAGGGAGGAACTTTGTTACCAGGCTTCGCGCTGTGTTTCCTCCGGCAGTGCGCGCTCAAAGCAGACGCGTTTGGCAGTTATTGTTGATCAGCGCTTCTTTTCATCCCAGGCGATGCCTTATAGAGCTTCCATTTGGAGGAAATAAGCTGTGTTTATCAAGGAGTGTGAGGTATGTATCCTATGTGTGTGCTTGTGTTGCATGAGTTGGAATGATGTACGTGATTGTTTGTGACGGGGGAAGACGTAGAGTAAAGTCCTCCCATGGCATGGCAGCATGTTGACTCAGTTATTTTAGTGCGTTGACCTTGCTTCTTCTGTTATTTGCATAGCTTGGAGGAACTACTTTTTTATAGCCTGTTTTGTGTTTGAAATCAGCAGCCAGAAGTTACCTGTGGGAAACGAGCATCCAAGCATTACTTAGGGCTGCCTCTTCAACACATTGCCTCCTCTTGTTCTCGAGTTGCCTATTTTAACACTTATTCTGTCTTTTATTCTTAGATGACACTGTGGATGCCTTATCAGAATCCTGTGCTCTGAGTTTGGAAGTCAGACCAGCTGTAAAATGCCTCTTTGGATTTGGTATGTGCTCTTAAGTTCTGCATCAACCTGCTCGGCTCAGATGTTTGCCACGTATGGGGAGATATGTCAAAGACTGTGTGGCTGCGATGAAAAAGATGGGATACTAACTGTGAGCTGTGAAAGCAGAGGAATCACAGCCATCTCAGACATAAGCCCACCGTTTTACCCTCTCTATCACCTCCTACTCAATGGGAACCAACTCCATAAGCTCTCCGCCGACGACTTTGTTGACTATAGAGGATTGACAATTTTACATCTGGGGAATAATGACATCTTGGAGGTGGAGGCGGGAGCGTTTAATGGGCTTCAGGGATTACGACGATTGCATCTTAACAACAACAAGATTGACTCCTTGAGGGAAGAGCTTTTCTTTGGCCTGGAAAGTCTGGAGTACCTGCAAATTGATTATAATTACATAACTCTAGTGGCACCGAACACCTTCCACAGACTCAGACATCTGGAGGTGCTAATCCTAAACGACAACCTCATCTCCAGCTTGCCCATCAACGTTTTCCAGTATGTTCCGCTGACCCATTTGGACTTGAGGGGCAATCAACTCAAAGTGCTTCCTTACACCGGTCTACTGGAGCACATGAACAGTGTGGTGGAGCTGCAGCTGGAGGAGAACCCCTGGAACTGCTCTTGTGAACTTATCGCTCTCAAAACTTGGCTGGAGAGCATTTCGTACGCAGCTTTAGTTGGGGACGTGGTTTGTGAGTTTCCGTTTCGCCTTCACGGGAGAGATCTTGACGAGGTCTCGAAACAGGAGTTGTGCCCGAGGAGAGCAATTGCTGAATATGAGATGCCGCCCTTGCCTCATTTGAGCACTGATGCATACTATAGGACTACTTCGCCGCTAGTCACATCCTCCCTAACATCATCTGGGATTGCGCGCTCATCCTTAAGACCCACCAAGGGGCCACGCCAGTCAGGCAAATTAAAAACAAGGCCAACTGCTCGTGTTCCGTCAAACAAACCGCAAAACTATGGCCAGATTGTTTCATATCAGACAAAATCACCTGTGCCTTTAGACTGCCCCACAGCCTGCACATGTAACCTTCAAATATCAGACCTGGGCCTAAATGTGAACTGCCAGGAACGAAAGATAGAGCTGATATCAGACTTAGAGCCCAAACCATATAATCCCAAAAAGATGTATCTGACTGGGAACTATATCACTGAGGTGCAGCAGTCTGACTTTATTGAGGCAACAGGACTAGACTTACTTCATCTTGGTAACAATAGAATAGCACATATACAAGCTAGAGCTTTTGGAGACCTAATCAATCTGAGAAGACTTTACTTGAACGGGAACTTGATAGACCGCCTCACCGCTGACATATTGTACGGTTTAGAGAGCTTGCAATTCTTGTATCTTGAGTACAATGTCATAAAGGAGGTCACGTCTGACGCATTTCAGTATGTGCCAAAACTCCAGCTCCTATTCCTAAATAACAACCTCTTAAAGACCTTACCAGCAGGAGCGTTTTATGGCCTCACATTAGCTCGCCTTAATCTGCGTAACAACCACTTGCGATATGTGCCAGTCAGCGGCGTCCTGGATCAGCTTACAGCCCTGGTGCAAGTGGACTTGTTTGAGAATCCCTGGGATTGCTCTTGTAGCATTCTGGAGCTGAAGTCGTGGCTGGAGCAGCTTAGCACAGGCACGGTTGTAAACAACGTCATCTGTGGCTCTCCAAAGAAGCTGGCGGGGGAGGACATGAGATACATTAAGGCTTCCCATTTCTGCCCTAATAACTCCAAGGTGCTGGCTTCCATGATCCCACCATCGGAAGAGTCATTTCCAGGAAGTACCGTCACCATAGAAACATCTTTAGATTCGGACATGCACAACAACGCCATTCCGCTGTCCGTCATGATTCTCGCACTTCTTCTCATATTTATAATGTCAGTTTTTGTGGCTGCCGGTCTGTTCGTCACCATGAAAAAACGTAAACAGAAAAACCAACATGTGCAGAATGACTCTATGAATGCATGCATCAGTTCGCTCAACATGGAATACGGACTGTATAAAAAGGGGACTATTCCCAAAGTGCGGACCTCTGCAGGGCACGTTTACGAGTACATCCCACCCCCAGCGGAGCCTGCTAGCCGGACAACTGCCCAAACCCCAACTGACCACAAATCCGTAGATGGATATCGAGACTTTGACGAGATAAGTGGGCCGTTTTTGGGTAATTCAGACGAGGAAGCTGCCAGTAACGTTTTAAGTTCAGAGTACAGCGCGACCACTCCAGAACTTCTGAACAAGCCAACCACTCCTCATCGAGACGAGCCGTGTTTCTACCGGAACGCACACAATCCCGACAAGCGATATTGCAATACATTACCGTGTAAGCACGCAACGCACTCAAGTCAGTACTCTTCAGCAGACTTTGAAAACAGGCAACAATACGCACCACCGGATCGAATACAGCAGACAATTTTGTATTGTACAGCTCCAAGTACTGTTTACGTAGAACCCAACCGGAGCGAGTATTGGGAACTAAAGGCAAAACTTCATATTGATCCAGATTACTTAGAAGTTCTGGAAAAGCGAACTACTTTTACACAGTTTTGAAAGGAAGAAGTATTACGGACTCAAAGATAATTGTGTTTATATCTTCTCTCTGCTGTTGCACATTTGTCAGCTGTACATGGTTTTACAAAAGGGACTCTACTTGTTTTAAAGTATCACTTCACACTCTGTCCCCGTGGTACTTAGCAGTTAAAATATGTGTAAATACGATTATGAGCAGGCTCGCACACATTCAGGGCTGCTATGATTCACTCTCATAGAGAAAATAAAATCTATCCTGGAGCAGTTTCGTTGACGACAATGGGAGACTAAGCTTTTAGGCCTAAATTAGCTGCGTTTTAGAATGATGGGTTAATGAGGTGTGCAGCAATGTTCTCAGTCCAAAAATATTCAATGCCTTTTTGTGTTGCAGGGATATCAATGTCTCCCAGTTGTACATTTTTGCATTGATCTGTAATGAAGCTAAATCCAATCAGGGTAAGTGATGCCAGATGTCAGTGACTAAATGGAAGTCATAAATTTGCACAAGGTTTTACAAGTGTCTGTGTGTGAAAGGGAGGTCTTCATTTCAGATAAATACATCTGCCCCATGGTTATTTTTGTCACACTGTTTAAGTAGATTTGTCTTTTACTTATCACATTATACAGATATAATATTTTACAGTTCTATACTATTTATGTTTAAAGATATTCTGTTGTCCCACTAAATTGTTTCTATAAGGGCACAAAAATGTACATTCAAAACCATATTTTTAATGAAATTGTATCCCAAGGTTTCTCTCATATATACGTGATTATAAAAAATCAAAATCAAATGCATTGCTGGGCAGATGCAATCACAATTTAAATTTAGCTGGGTTAAACATGTTCTCAAATTCCTGTTTTTGTGTCTCAACAAAAAAGGAAATTAGTTCAAACTATGCAGCCCGACTTTGAATATTAATGTGTTGACAAATTAAGCAGCGCACTGGATATTCTAAATGTGTACATCCTCATGGCCTTGTGCCGGTGATTGTACTAAAATGAGTTCATTCCATGTCCACTGCTCCTGCCCGATGATTGGTTATGTTTATTCAACTGTGACAAGAGCTGAGAAAATGTACTCTCATCCACAGAGAGAAGACTAAGACATTGTATAGAATTGAACCAAATTGTGATGGTTGACCAGGCTCTGTTAAAACTGATTAATACTGTGTACTACTGTATATCCATTGTACAGGGCTTAGCATAATATTAACAGAATACTTGTGTTGATGTGAAAGAAACTAGCACAATTATGCACATTTCTTTATATTGTGTTCTTTAGCCGATTGTCCTTTGTTCATAATTTATTTCAAATTAAACCACATCCACTAAGGTCTTTTCATTAAAAAATGCACTATAGTGACTTTTAAAGGTCAGTTATGATGTCAGTGTTTTCTAAATTCACAGCCATAAACTAAAGGTTTAAAAAATGCAAAAATGCAAATGCTTTCCCTATGCATACATTACATGGCAAACACACGCACAATCCGTTTGAAGAGACCACCTCTTACTTCTTTGGGCACATGCGTCTCCATATTGATTAATATTAAACAGTATTAACATGTAGTATTCATGCCCCATATGTGGGACCCAGAACACATCAATATTCACAGGTATGTTGATCATTCCTATGTAAACTACTTCAATTACTGCCTTCATTGGTCTGGGAGAGAGTGTTTTTTTGGAGTTTTATGGATCACGGATGAATATGACAGTTCTGAGAATAATTGCGCACGAGGATTGTCAGTGTGAATTGGAAACACTCCCAGGCAAAGAGAGAGACATCCTTTATAATCACTCAACTTCCACCCCGGATCGATAAAGCAAGTCAATAAACGTGAGGGTTCAGAAGGAAGGGTGTAACCACAGTGTGCGATGGTCAACCTCTGTCCTCTGTCCGCTCCACTAATTAGGCCACTGCAAGTCACCACAAATTATACCGCATATCGTGATCGCCATTCTGAGGTCTCGCTGTGTCGGCCTAACACAATCACTTCCTTTTCTTTGCTTGAGTCGAAAGATATCCAGAGTGGCCCCATTTGATATTTTTGTGATCAAATGTTTATAGGAAAGTGCTTTTCATATTCATATTCAGATTCATTTATTTGCCATTTGCAGTAAAACCACATTGGAATACATTTGCAAAATAACCCAGTGTGCACAAGACAAGTACATATATAAAATAAGATTAAAAGTATAGAAATTAAACAAACAAAACAGTAAACTATTGACACTGTGAAATCAATCGACTAAAACAGTTTCAGTACAAGTGCAAAATCATTAAAGTGCATTCAATTACATATTATATGTTACAGAACTTCTAAGCACTATCACTTTATAATTTGGTTTTAAATGTTCCCTAACCTCCATTACCACCCCACCTCCCCTTAAGATAAGATAGACTTTATTGATCTCACTCTGGAGAAATTTACATTTGGGTCCCCCCTGCAACACACACACATACCTAGCACTTTCCACACAGGCATTGGCCATTCAATGGATAAACGCATAATAAAATAAAACATGAGTCACAGTTGTAAAAATTATTTTGTCATTTCCGACATAAAAAGAAAATAATAGTTTCCCCATTTGCACAGTGGAGCGCAGCATTTAAGTTTGAAACAATGTATAATTTAGAGCTGGGTAACTTCTGGCCAATGAGAACACTCTATTCTCACACTATTATTGTATACAAAATAAACCTTTAATAACAAAAGCTGTAGCAATGACTCAACAGGACGCCTGGAGATACCCATTTGAATTTGCGAAAGCCCTATTCATATTCGTATTATCAAAAATGAAAGACAAAAAGGGTATTACTTTTTCTATTGTCCGTAATCAGAAGCCATGCGGGATGCTTATGTAGAACAAACACTCCCACAATTTTAGAAAACCGCGCTAAGCCAGATTTGAATACCCCTATTCGGCTTTTTCTGCTTTGATTTTGACACAGCAGTGATCCACTCTTGTCGGGTTTTTTTTTTTTTTTTTTTTGTAAATAGGACACAACACCATCAGCATAAACTTTTGCAACGCCTCTGAAAAAGCTAAAAAAATCTTGAACTGCAAAAACACTGTTCGACCAGAGAATATGTGAAGGTTGATCTATCTATGGTGTTTGTTTCTTTAGTTGTCAGCTAATGAATAAAAGATTTGCATTCATTGGGTATATGTTTGTTTGTTGTGTGTAGGACGCATAGTAAGTCAGGCCTATTGAGGACTGAATAATAAGCACTCCCAAAGATACCGGAAGATCAAAACACGAGGTGAGAGATCTCTGATGCAGTGTTATAAATATCGGCAATGTTGTTTTAAATTATTAAAAAAAGCCGAACAGGCCAGATGGTCCCTCGAATTAGTTTTGAGTGGGTCCCAAGTAGGGTGCACTATGTCAAACTAGAAAATCCCTCATTTCTTAAAACAATTACTGGATAAGGACGGTAATTTATTTTCGGAAGAACTCAAAGATTGGAAAAAATTGGTTCCTTTTTTGAAAGTTTCTGGATTATTTTACAATCCCACAAACAAACCTTACCAATTACGTTACCTATTTGGCTCAGGCACTTATGTCTTCATTCAAACATACAGTAATTATCAATCTGTGAACATGGAATATCTGTGTATTCATAAAAACATTACTTTAGTGCATCATTGTCAGTGTTTTAACTATTTCAACACAGAATAGACCGTGTATATGTTGATATGTTTTGATATGTTAGATCAAACCGCCCTTTTTTTCATTAGTTCTGCAAAAGAGGCACAGATTTAACCCCGCAACATTTGGTCTGTCCGACGTGCACTTACTTTAACACAATCAATACATTTTTTAGATAGTCAATTCATTTCATGTCAACAATATATCGTTCAAGCTTCTCTTAAAAATCAAAGTGCAGCACAAAATATGTTAATAACTCTGACTTTAGCATACTCTTCTGTAACGGGAAGAAAGAATTACTGGCAAGAAGCACTGATCAGACTTAAGGAGCATATAGAAAATGTACAGAGCCGCTGCTATTAGTGGATTTGTAAGAGTCAGACTGGATGGAAATAGATGTAATGTCTGTGCTCTGCTGCTCAGTGCGACATACGGCTCCACAAATTCAGTCTGATCCAGGGTCACTGCTGATCCCTTTGGGTTTGGACTCTAGCACACGGTTTGGTGAACTGCTTTAACCACAGTTGCAGGCCTATAAATGCCATTACAGGCGTCTATAGGTCTGTAATGGTGTTTGTCTCACTGCTGGTCAGGCTTGTTCTCATGTGTGTGCTTTTGTTTACTTCACGCCATCCGTCTGCTTTCTCTGTCCAGTGAGAAGAATATGATTGGAGAAAATGAAAAAAAATGTACACACCCGATCCGGCACAAGTAAGATAACATTTGGCTTCACAGGATCCTTGATGAAATGCCAAAACAATGTAGAACCTACATGGAACGCACACTTACTTGGTTATCACAAAATCACAACAAAATTACAATTATTAAGAGAAAGACAATATTGGTTCTCTGCTACTAAACAACTGACTCACATTCTCAGTGATACAGAGAATAAGAGGGAATATGGAATGATGCATGACCAAATTCTGGCATCTGAAGTCAAGATCAAGTCACAAGATCGCCTACTGACTACACAGCCCATCTGCTGCGTTGAGTCTCGTGTGAAATGTATCAAAGCAAAACCGTTGTTAAATCGTTCTAAAGACAAACGCCTGGGTTTTATTTTACACCTTGGATTAAAGTAGAGTGAATTGAGCACATTTTTGCAGAGAGACGGCACTGAGAGGTCACTGGTAATCACTTATTTCATAGAATTAATATAATATAATAATCTAACCGGGTACAATTTATGTGCTTATTCTTCCCTCTTTTTAGACGTTTGTATTGAATCTGTAAAATATTCTACTTTTTCAAGATGAATAAACAATGAAACTTTGAAAATTACAATATGGTTCAATAGTTAAGATAAGATAAGATAAGCAAGAAATGTACATGTCACATTTGGCATAGATATAATCACTCACAAAAGACAGAACATGTTAGAGGCAAAAAATATAGTGTTTTCAGGATATATTAAGTACAATAAAAATGAATGGCAATTAAAGAAACAGTGGCAATAGTCCTAGTTACTTCTCTAATTCAACTTGCAATGTAAAACTATTGAAAGATTACTCTGGCTCACAGCTTGAAACAACCCCAAATAAATCCATCCATCCATCAATTTTCTTCCCCTTAATCAATATCTGGGTCGGGGGGTTGGCAGTCAGAGCTGCACCCAGTACACAGAGCACCACATAAATGGTCCATTTTATGAAATTAGAATATTTTGAAAACCAAATTTTAGCCATAACCATCAAAATAATAATTTATATATATCACTATGGTTTCACTTTTTAAGCTGAACCACAAAACTATATTAACTTTGGAACAATATTGTAAATTTACGAGTTTTACCTGTGGATCAAAACTTTTCTACGGCTTTTGATTTTTCCCACAAATTCTGGGTTATCCACAACAGCATGACTTTGCTCATTTCAATATACCTGGACCAAACCCATCAAACATTGCGAGCAGTCTTAATTTATTTTAATATACATAGATATTAAAGCTAACATATTGAGACTGGAAGGATTGACATAAATACACCAAATAGTCCCGACATTGTCTAGGTCTGTGTGATGCATGGTTTGGGCTTGTTTGCGCTGACAGATACTAATTGGTTCTCTCATGTAGAAATGCAGCGATGATGCCATGCCCCGAGTGCTCCAACAGCTGCATTCGTGTAGCGGCTGCACTACAGGCCTGAGGCATAAAAAACATCGACTCGTGCCAAAAATGCGCTTGCTCCTCAAATTACAATTCCTAAAAATAAAATAAAAACGTCACAACAATCTGACTCTCATACATCAACAGTGACGTTCAAAGACCTGGAAGTAACGACCATATTTGATTCGAACTACTAATCCGAACACACCGTGAACAAAATCCCCGTTTGTATGAGAACTGCAGGGCCAGACAGACGCTTTCTGTATGCTGCCCGTCTCCATGGAAACCTCCAATTACAAATGACAAAGAAAAAAGTGTATATATGCTGACATGGGGTGCCAACTCATTTGCAACTTTTGACAGGTATGACATTACTCTAGCCTCTTTTTTTCCTCACAAACTGTACACAAGACAAGTCTGGGAGATTAAAGGTTACTTTTTCAATTTCCCACTCGTGTTTCTTTAATTCCGCCGCCAAATAGAGCTTCATGTCACTCATAATAGGACAACCATTTCACTGCGTTACCTTTGGCTTTGACGTATTTGTGGGATTGATAGTGTCACATTGCTTAGCTTAGCTCTGAGAACCCTCGATTTTGCTTGAGCAGAGGGAGAGGGGTTGAAATTAGGGCAGAACTGCATTATGTAAGCTTGAAGTGATGTGGCAGGCGGTGTTGGAGACAGCATATGACTGTAAGCATTTAACCCAAAAGGAGATCTCTACTGTTGCCATAGAATTACATCAGGCAAGACAACACAGCCAAGACACCAGCTCTATTCCACGTTATCCCAGTTTCCCGCATCTGGTAAACTGCGTGTGGCTTCTCGTTGTTATAGTTTTTGTCGCCGAAGCGCTTAAGAATCTTGTGTGGTGCTCCCTCCAAAGCAATGTGTTTTTTTTGTGTGTCTGTGAATGCATAAATTATTGACTCATAGTGTATTCATGCTTCCCTCCAGGACCTGAGCCAACAGCCACGGAGTTACCTTTATCCTCTCCTCTCCCCGGATTCACGAAGCGGATTCAAAAGCTCCTCTAACTCCCCAAACAAGGAAAACACTGTAGTAAGAATAGCTGCACAGCGGTGGTAGCAGTACAGAGCTGCATCATTCATAGCGGATTGGAATCGCATTTTTTTTAGATTCGGATTCAGTTTATTTGATATTTGCAGTTACAAAACAACATTGGAATATTCATGCAAAAATAGCCAGTGAGCACGATAAAAACCAAAGACAAGAAAAACAGTGTGTGTGTGTGTGTGTACGAGAGACGGCATTTTCTGTCTATTCTTAACACAATTACATGCTTTTGTGTATTTCTATAGTTATTATAGTATAGTATATCAAGTCTATAGGCCTATAGTAATTTGATGGCATGTAATTGTGTATTGTATTCATGTAACTAAGGGCTGCAGATGGAAACTAGCTGTTTAGCTGTAATCTGGTACAAGACATCGGCTTTGAGCTCAATGTATCTGTGCCCTGTCCCTTTCAACTAAAGACTAAACTAAAACTAAAATATGACAAATATATTTTTAATACATTGTTAGATCATCTTAATACTGCGTTCAATCTGGCAAGGGCTTGGAGAAATAAACCCACTACACCTCAAAGATCAATATCTCCTCACAGAAGGAACATGGCCTTCACAGGATGGCGAGAAGGATCATTGATCATTCGAAGAGCTGGATTTTAAAGTCTAGATTGATATAGAGGCTACAGAGAAGGCAGCACACAGCTCATTGTGCTTTTAACAGAGCGGAGCACCTTTTTTAGCGCTTTGGCTGTGATGTTGCTGAGTCATAACTGGCCACAATTAGCGAACGGCAAAGACTGTCATTATTTAGAGTACATCAAGCCCTATACACACAGAATTTCTAAAGTCACGTGTAATAGAAATCCCTGGTTTTAAAGCTATAAAACAGGCTTAGAAATACAAGGATGTCGGAAAATGTCAAAATGGAGGAACATAAGGTGTTTCTCTTAACTGCACTTTGACTGTTGTATCTGCTAATGGAAAAGGGAGTCATTTCATTTCAACAGTGAAAATATTGCAAAATAAAAATACTAATATGTTTATCACGTCTCAGTTTTCCCTCAAATTTTAATTATTAACATTATTCTATAGGTTGAAACAGAAAATTCAAATATGGAAAATACGTACAGTATCTCTTTAGAAATGTGCAGCCCTAGCAGTGGCAGTAACGTTTGTATTTTTACTATTTGGTTGAGGAATTCATCACCTGCTTATCTCACATAGAAAATAATGTCTGGAGTGATGTATGGTGAAAATGTACCAAACTTTGTCACTTTTTACAATCTTTTTCATCTACTTTCATGTAATCTCCTGCATTTTCAAACACAAACCCCCATAGAAGAATATGCCCCTATGCTTTGGATGGATTACTTGTAAAAGTAATCTCCAATAAAAGGCAATGAAAAATGACTTTCTGTGTGAACGCCAGGATGTCCTCCCAAATGTCATCGGTATGTATACAAATGACAAAAACGGTTATAGTGAAATATGTAACACTTAAAACAACTTCCCGTATGTGGAGCGTCCTCCAGAGTGTTTTCTGAGGTGACTGTCGAATGAAAAATTTCAAATCAGCCTCACTCCTATTCTTATTTATTCATAAATCTTGCCAATTTAACATGTTCTCCTGATAGCACAGAAGGTCATTCTGGCTCTGACTTAAAACAATGGAGTGCAGTAAGTTCTGTTCATAAGAGATTCTGTTTATTGTGGGGGATTCTATAGTTATGAGCATATGAAGTTATTTTATCCTGGTGTGACATTATGGATGAGGGCATTTCAATATACGGTAAGTACAATAGTAATCACAGTAATTGTTTTGTATAGCGCATTTCACAGACCCACGTCAAACCAAACGCATAATTCATATTTTTGCCCCTAACCATCACATTCCATTTACTCTCTCATTACATTCAGGGGAAACCGGAGAACCCAGAGAAAACCTACGCAGACAAGGGGAAAAATGCTAACTCCACACAGAAAGGCGTTCCAGGACCTTCTTGCTGTGTAGCACAAGGTAAAGGTGAAGGTGCACTTTATTAATCCCCGTAGGGCAATTCATTCTCTACATTTAACCCATCCTGATGCCACTAAGGCTTATGTCAGGAGCAGTGGTGGCCATAGTAACAGCGTCCGGGAACCCGTCTCCAGATGTTGATGCTCAGCTTGGTCAGGACTACCAGAGCATGCATGTTTTAAGTGGTGCAGGGAAACAGGAGCACCCGAAAGGGAAACCTACACAGGCACGGGGAGAACATGCAAACTCCACTCAAAGACCCTGCTCTGACCGGGATTCTAATCCAGGAGCTTCTTGCTGAGAAGCGAGAGTGCTATCCATTTAAGCACCACACTGTAACGGTTACCAATACCATTTTTACTGGTCCTTATAAGGGCTTGTAATAGTCAGACTGAATGACCAACAGAACCACTGACACATGGTTCAGTCCAATCTAATGAGGATGATGATGATGATGAAGACACAAACAGATAAAAACCTGTGAAAAAATAGCCTTAAAATGGGCGGTGGGGGAAAATGCGTTAAAATGTCCCTATGCAGAGGTAAAACTTGATATTGTGTCCAAACGCACAACAGGAACATAAAAATATCAATAACTCAATGTCTGCAGAAATGTTCTAAGGGGACCCAAACAATTTCCTATTCACTAATATTGTAATTTTGATATATTTATCCAAGCATAATTCCCTTCGTCTGTTATGCATTGCTGTTTCCTGAATCACAGTTTTCCAGTGATATTACAACATTCCTGGCTGCCGTTGTAATCCTCTACCCTTTCTCTCATACGTTGTCGGCGCGGTGGCAGCTCGGCGTTGCCAGGGTGGAGTGGATTTGGATTCTGGATGCGTTCAAAGTTTATTTGTGAGAAAACAGTATGCCCAGCGCTGTAGACAAACTAATATTTATGAGAGCTTATCCAGGCTTACGAGTGCCAATCTCAGAGAAATCCCCCTTCATCCTTTCATTTGAACCAAAAGATGAGAATGGTGCTTCCTGTTATGACAAAAGGTACGGGAAAACAACATATTGTAAAGCGTTTGTGTAGTGAATGTGCTGATTGGTGTGTGCTAAGAAGCTTTTCGAGAATGCTGGCAGCTCTGCATGACAATAACAAGCTGTAATAGGTTTCTTCAAAAAAAAAAAAAGTGCCAATCCTACGATATGTTTGAAATCATAGAGAGAAAAGCTATTGCCCTGAAACCAAAAGCAGTTTCAATTTAGCTTTACACACTTAATAGTTCTGTCGTTGGGGAATCGCACAGTGTTTTTCTAGCATTAGAGGCGAGAGAAGCGGCATGATAAATCTGGGTAATTAAAGAAATCAGACTATATTGCGGCTTTCAAAAGTAATATCGATCGATCAACCTTAATTTGTAGAGTGCTTTTCTGACATAAAGTGCTTCACACATGAAGCATAAACAGGGCATCAAAAACAACCATTAAGATCACACAAAATATTAAAAACACAAATCAAAATAACACGTACGGTATTAAAAACATAGACATAATCACACAGATAATTTAAAAATAAATGATACAATTTGAGTTTGGATTTGAACACAGTCACTAATACCAATACTAACTAAATTTACTAATGCAACTGAAACTATTGTACATGTTTACGACATGGGTCTATTATAATAACTGGATAGGGTATTACTATAGCTTGGAGCTGAAGAACCCATATGCTCGGGGATTCTCGCGGTACTGCAGACTAAACCAGACTAAATTCACGTGGGCTACCCAGAAATGTTTGCCATAGAACCCAGTGTAAACTAAAACAGCTCAACCTCAGCTGACAGAGAACTTACAGCTTTCATAAAGGTCGGATTTTGTGGGGATTTTAGTGTCCCTTGTCATTCTGAACTTTTTTTCTTCTTAAATCCTTTGGTTTTCTTTAAATCTACACTTTAGTGCCACAAACTCTGCCCGTTTAACTCCCGCTCTGATGAGCAGTTCTGATTGGTCAGAGCGCGGCCGAGCCCCTCTGTGTGCTTGCATGACAGCCACACACGCATGTTTCGCGCAACGCATTATGGGAGTTCATCCACTGCACAGAACCGGGAGGACCAGACGATGCCCAAATACAGGCGAGTTTCCCATAGATCTTTGCGAGTTCCAGGCGACATCCGCTAATCTTTTCGGCTCCCATGCCAAAACCACAAAGCAAAACCATTCATTTGAATACGGCGCCATCTTGGATCGTCGGGGCTTGGTTTACGACCACAAACAAAACAATTGTGTTTAGAATCTTTTTTATTTGTTTATTTGTTTAGATACTTTGACAGTGTTAAAATCCAGGTTAAAAACAGTTGTGTTCAGCAGTGCATGCAACTGTAAGTATTGTATCTTCACTCTTTTGAATGTACTAATAATGATTATTTTAATGTTTTGTGTATGACTGCGGTAAACAAATTAAACTTCCCTTGCCTTGTTCGTTTTTTTTATTTTTATTTTTTATTCCAGTAAAGCAACACAAAGTCAAAGCAACAGATTCATGATGTTGTTTTTGAACTGAAGAATATTATTACAACACAAGTTAATACTTTGTGAAACCTCCTTTTGCTGCAGGTCTTTTGTGGTATGACTCTACAAACTTGACACATCTAGAGATTGAAAGCTTTTCCTATTGTATTTAAAAAACAACTCAAGCTCTGTCAGATTAGATGGAGAGCATTTGTGATGAGCAGTTCTCAGGGTCTTTAAAAATGTGGTAATAAACACGATTCAATGTGGAATACGTTCAAGTTGTATTAGCATTTTTGCAAGAAGTATTAGCAGAGGTATCATTTGATAGATTACTCATGACCCGTTTCCCTTCTGTTGTCAAACACATCTGACATTTATACACCAGTGTACACAGTGTGATCAGACCCGACGCTACTTTAACATTATGAGATCCGATCGGGGATTCTCAAGGTGATACCACAGTAAGGTCAGCGTCCTTATACGACCAATAACATCAGTCCACATATTCTCGCAGATTT